AAAAGTTAAAAATCGAGGTGGAGCGTAGCGGAGACGAGATTTTTAATTTCGACGAGGCAGTAATAACACTGTAACATTTCGTGGGATGTTCAGCTTTTTATTGGTCACCATAAATTCTCAATTTTTTTATTTATTTATTTATTTTTAAAATTTACGACATTACTGCGATATGAAACACATGAATTCTGTTGTTGCGGCACGATAATCGATATTGTTGGGTATTGCTTGCGATATATCTATTTCAACAATACACTTGTATACCGTAGCTCGAGGAAGATGGACGCTGAAAATTCGTCTATACCTCAAAAAATTTTGGATGCAGCTGCGGAAGCCACGCGAGATTTAATCCCTGGAAAATCTAAAGCACGCTACGAGAAGGCATGCGTTTCTTTGATTTCTATTTGTCTTGTAAATTATCATGTGATTTGTTCGTAATAATGTTAACTTGCGATGAATGGGTGGTTGTTTATTTAAGTTACTCAGGATGTTAAAAACCCGTTGCTAAGAATTTTAAATTTCTTAACCTACAGGAAGGTACAAGTGCATTTAACAAACGTATAGGGTTGTTAACAAGGATTAAAGACGCATGTGACCTATAAAAGAAATAACTAGAGCATAACCAATATACATTTTATACTTGTGCATTTTGGGTGGCATTGAAACATTAAAATGTTTACTATTTCATGCGCAACTTCGAAAATGAAATCGATCACTTAAGTTCGAAATTAATAAGTATTATTACCTGCATTATATTGGCGACGCGATACAGTGTAGTGAGAATTATTTTAGGAAAATAAAGACAGAGTTTCTTATTAAAAATCTAATACTTTAATTATCTGGAAATACATAAAAATATACTGACTACAAAATATTACGTTAATAATCATTACCAGGCCTGGTGGCAGAGGTCGATGAGGCACGAGTGCAGTGACAAGCTCGATTCGGCGGATCGTGGTCTCGAGCTCCATGTTGGCGTGATTGTTTACCTGTGTGATGTGCCATGCAAAATTCTTACCGTGTTTTTTTTTGTTACTGGCCAGTTCGAGCGGCGTTCGAATGTGCGCTAGACAGAGACCCTATATATATATATATATATATATATATATATATATATATATATATATATATATACAGAGAGTAGTGCCGCCGCCGCCATTTAATGTCCTCTTACCGGAAAGCTCTGCCAGGCAGCATTCAGAACGTGAGGACAAATTATGACAATTCGAGGTGAACAGAAGAATTTAGAGCATAATAATATTGTTTTGGTGTAAATTGGTGGCTCCCGACACACATTATATCACCGACTTCAAAAGCTTTTGACAACTGAATATGAAATGGCGAATTCGGCGGCGGAGGCCTAAGGACCCTACAGGCATGCACGCTCTGTTCAGACGGTGCCACTGTTTTCATTCGCTCCTGCCGTATTGATTGATTGGTAGTGATTTCGGGCACGTCAACTTCTAAGGCGGTTCGTCCCGTAAGTGTATTGCATAATAGATAAATAGATGGATCTAGATATAAATAGATAGGTTGATAGGTTGATTGAATTGCCCTGAGTAATTGGAAATTGAGAGATTGAATGGGTTGCAGGAAGGATTTAAGTGAGGAGAGATGAGAGTGATTGATGGGTGAGTGAGTTGATGGTGAAAGAGATTGATGGGTGAGAAGATCGAATGGGTTGGGAGAATGAATGGAGTTAGCGACGCAGAGATGGCATGGTGAAGAATAATGGGATTGAGAGAATGATGGGATGAGATTATGGGGTTGAGAGATTGATGGAGTTGGAGAATTGATGGTTGTTGAGAATGATGGTGGAGAGAATGATGGTGTGAGCGAGAATGAATGAGGTTTGAAAGAGAATGAATGGATGAGAGAATGACTGGTGTTGAGAGCAAATGATGATGGTGAGAGAAATGATGGACGTGAAGAGAATGATGGGTTGAGAGAATGAGGGTTGGAGAAGAATGTGTGAGAGAATGATGGCGATTGACGAGAATGAACTGGCGAGCAGAATGAGGGTGAAGATGCGAGGTGAAGATTAGAGAATGATGCGCGCTTGAGAAGATTGGAGCATTGGCGATGAGAGAATGATGGGTTGGGAATGAGGAAATGATGCGGTTAGAGCATTGATGGTTGCAGAGCATGATGCGTTGAGAGCATGATGGTTGAGAGAATCTGATGGTGACATAGTTGAGAGATTGAGGGTTGAGAGATCGATGGGTTGAGAGATTAGATGCTTGAGACCGATGCATGGGTGAGAGCATGCGATGTGTTTTTTTACCAACATCAGCTGAACCTCCCTCTCACCAGCTGAACCAAGCTGTTCCAACTCGGCCTCTCGCGGGCAAGAGCGTCGGCGGGCACGCCCGGCTGCAATCATGGCCAGCCGATTAGGAGGTTGAGAAGGAGGAAGAGCTCTTATCACTCTTGCTTTTCGTGGAAGCAATATGAGTAGTGCGATGGCTGGCAGAGGAAGCCACAACCTTTCCTCAGATTCTCTCTGCAATGAAAGAAATAAAAAGAAAAGAGAGAAACCAACTTTGTGTGCAACTTGCATGCATTGATGCTAGCTCAAGGTCTGGCACCAGATATTGCTTCACTTATTAAGAAAAATATATATAAAATTAATTATATCGTAAATTATTGTGGTTGAATTGAATCGAATTTTACGTTTCCTGTTCAACTTGAAGGTTTCTTTCTGAGTATGAGCCCTGGTGTGCCCTCCACTCCCCAACCTAACCGCTCCCTGCTTCTGCTACCAGCAACGAATCGACGCCAAAGGTCAAGACCAACTCGCGCCCCGAGGGCTTGTATTTCGCGTGGCGCCGGCAGCCAATGTTGGCAGCAGTCTGTGCCCGCCGGTCCCCGCCGGTGCCTGCGGTGTCTCGCGGGCGCCCGCGTGTTCGCTCACAGGCAGCCGAGTTGGAACAGCCTGTTCCAAACTCCCGACCGGTCTCCCGACACGTGTGGTATTGTAGTGCATGTAAGTGAGGGTTAGGAAAAGACAAGGAATAGGAAGTAAAGATCGCGTGTGGTTTGTGACCAGTTTGTTAGGGTTGTTTCAGTTTGCTAAAAATGGATTTTGCTTAAGATTTGACCAACCCAAATGGACACAGTTGCGAGTGGAACAGAATTTCAGGAGAGGTAAAATCAGATGAAATGATATTGGCGAATAAAATATCTTATATCTTCCAGATATGAATAAATCTGTATATATTGCTAGAGGCAAAGTGTGTATGAGTGTTTTAACTATGTATCTCCTCAGATGTGTCCCTGAATACTGTGGGGATGCGCATTATGGCCACATCCTCCCCGCCTGGTTGGGGACACATTAAACTGCTTGCTACCTTCCCAATGTGGATGGCAAGAAAGGAATCTTAAAAGAGGAATGTCTGGTGATAATCGAAGAGAAAATAAGATCCAGACAAAAAGGAATTGTAACATGATGTGAAATACGCAGTAAAAATATTGTCTTAATTTTCTATAATACGATTATACTAAACTGACAATAAGTTGATTCGAATTTGACATCATAATTATTACGTAAAAATGAATTATCCACACTGATGTTAATTGTGGATTTAAGTTCACAATTACTCGTCTGAAGAATATATTAGAGATAATAAAACAAAGCAGCGCCTCGAACCCAAATACATTGCTATTCGAGGTTGGCAAATGGGATGGGGTGAATGTCATGTTACGGGAAGAGAAGTAAAAAAAATGAAAACACATTGGTAGGAAAACAGTGACTTTACATTCATGGAAAAGGCATGTAAAGTGAATTTACTGATTTAGTAGTTTACATTGAGTTACATTGAGTTTTTGTTGGGTGACCATCTTTTAAATAAATGATTGACTTTGGGCGTTTCGTTTTTGAAGCGGTGGGATGAAAAGTTCGACATGGATAACTTCACTTTCACATCTTTCAACTATGAAATATTGACGGGGTGAAATATGATTGATCCTTAATGTAAGAGGAAGTATTAAAAGGTCAAATCAATTATGAGAGAGACATGTATGCATAAAAACCTGTCAAAGTAGTTGTACCGCAAAAATTAATATTGTGCAATCGAGAATTTAATTTTGGGTCTCTGAGTTTTGTATCAACTTAATTAGTGTCATCTAATAATGATGAAAATAACTAAAATATTTTTAAAATCCTATAATTTTAGAATTTGAACGTAATTCATCATTGAACGTAATTAATAAGACGGACCGCGAGAGATGGCTTAGGGCATCAACTGATGTAACTGCAGTACTTCTGACAGGAAGGTCCTAGGTTCAGTTCCCGTGGATGGCAGGATTTTCTAAATTAGCCTGTGAGCTAGGTCGAATTCAGTCTCTGTCTGGAGGAGAATTCTAGCGGCCGGCTGCTCTTCGATGTTTTACGTCGTGAGCAACACCAGGTGAATGCCGGGACAGTACCCTACCAAACGGACCACGGACCGCGCGCAATCTTTCCTTACTCTTACCTGCCCTATCCTTAACTCTTTCACACACTAACACTAGCATGCGTGCCACACTTGTCGGGAGATTGCTCGGGAGGTTAGAGCTTCTCCTAGTTGGGGCTGTGCCCTGCTGGCGGGAGATTCCTTGTTGGGGAAAACCACGCTAGCCAACGATAGGTGGACGCCGGATCGTGCATTCCGGCGGAAATACCACCTCCCGAGGAAAATCACGCACTACACTTACGGAACTCATAACCTTAGCCGTTTACTCCTTCCGAATCACTAACAACCAACCAATAAGACGGATGAATTTTTCAAGATCGATTCTGCAGCGCAAACAGATTTTCAGATGTCGGAAACGCACTCCTAGAACAAACGCATCGCTCGGTTTGGTTTCGCTCTTACTCCACAACGGCCTCCTGTCTGCCCTTTGTCAATTACCGGAGAAATGTTGCCACGGAGAGCAATAACGACCGGGCGGGCGATCGCTGCAGCCCGGCGGAGCTGACAAATGGCGCCGATCGCTCAGGGCTGTTTTTTTTTCTCTTGCAGAACGTCCACCCTCCCTGCGGCCCGCACCGAGCAGCCGGCCTGCCTGCGTCCGCGCCCGCCAGCGCCACCCAGCGCCACCGCCAGCGGTAAGTTTTCCTGCAGCGTTTGTTTGCTGAGCGCCCGCGCAAGCGCTGCGGATGCAGCCACCGAGTTGCGTCTTCTGACAGAAACCACAGAGTTGTTTTTAGATTAAAGGTTTCTCGATTCATCTTTGCTCAGATTCACGTTAAAACCGGCTGAGAGATGTTTTTATTTTGTATTATTGAGGGGGCTTTATTGATTTTCACATTTATTCTATTGAAACAACCTACGACATTTCTGGAACTATAGTTTACACTACCTATTCCGTAAAACATTTATTCATATTTAGTATTTTCTGAAATGAGCACCATTGACATCCCTGTCAGCGTTAGTGATACAAGTATATGCAATAACTCCCGCTAAATGCGATTTTATTCATCATTATAATTTTGACGTCATAAAATAAATCTGCAGTCGACTTGGATGGCCGAGGGGGCTAAGAGCGTGTTCAGCGCTTCGGTCCGAAGAGTAACAGGTTTAATTCCCGTCTTGGGCATGGTTGTTCGTCTCTTGTCTCCCATGTACGTGTTGTCGCTGGGAGCGTCGCGTTCTGCTGACCCCAGAGGAGCCCGCAAATGTGTTGGTGTCTAGTGTATGGTCGAATATGCGGCCCATGGGGACAAAAAGGATAAGCGGCAGTTGGCTGGATAAAAGTCCTAAGAAGAAAAAAATCAACCCCCTCTGGAGCGTAATTCGATTTGGGAGAAATCGGCTAACACAGTACGAAAAGGGCAGCAATTAGCGATCAAGAAGAGGTACGACGGAGTACATTGCTATCTAAAATGATGAATACTGCAATAATCCAGTAGTAAAATTTTTTCCCGCGTATACGAGATAAAAATCATGCACTGCCTACTACTGCCCACTAGTATAACTAACAGTAAGTGTTTAGGTGCAGAAGATGGGACAATGTAAGCAGGCACAGAGCATTGAATTTAATTATTTCGATTAAGAATTGCTAATCAATTTTTCAACATTTCTATGTACTTTGTACCTTTTCTCTTATTATTTCGAACAATAAAAGAGAGATATGATATAATACGCAAAAACAATTAAGTGGAAAAACTGATGAAACATAGAAATACGTCCTCAGTGTCAGTAATTATATTCATAAATAATATCATATCCAATTACAATAAAATTTATATTTCCTCAAAAAGGGTTTAAATGAATACTAGACATTGCATAATTATGAAATTAGTACGTTGCAATTACGACAGAATTTAATACACGCCCCCTAGAATTACTTTCACCGACAGTTTCGAATGGAGATCAATCCCCATTTAATTGAATGTTTGTGACTCTTTGACAGTTCAGTTCGGGAAATTTGATGAAATTCATATTTTTGCAGTAACGTTTTGCCGTTGAAGTAAAGAGAAATGTTAGAGACCTCCCTACAATCGTATTTTGTTTCAAAATCCATATAATCCGTTTTCATCCTTTTGTGCAGGGTTTGCGATTGTTAACATTTTCACGCCCGTGAAATGTTGCCTTTTCAACCACGCAGTTTTTACTTTTTGTGCGATCAAAAACCTAGAACGTTCGTTTGAATAGTGCAGTATAACGCTCTCTCATTGCATTTTCATCGTATTGTTACTCTCTTTCCGTCCTTCACATTGTGAAGTGGTCTCGTGTATATTTTACCGGTGTTTACATAATGTAGTTAGATACGTTATTCAATCACCGATTACAGACCATGCACATTACATTTATAATGATCCCCTAATGTGTATAATATCATGCAAATTTTATAAACTATAATCAATTATTATGAAAAGCAGTACGAGTGAATAAGCAAAATCACAGGCGTGCGTTATGAAAGCCTTTTCACTTTTTCTTTGTGGATCGATGTGTTATTTCATGAAATACAGTGTGGATTAACAATTTAGAAACACTGACATCTCCATTATTTGTGTCTTGTAGCCAATTGGAGTGGTAGCTACCATAGATTGTGAAGACTCCATTTAGTAAGTATGAAATGTTGAAGCTGGATTTAGGCCTTAGCAATTAAACTTTATTACTTTCGTATAATTGATGTTTTTTGTATTTGGTATCTCCTTCAACATTTTAGCTTATTATACACTTGAACAGAAATACGAGTATGTAAAATATGGCGACGTTTCAACCCAATTGACAGAAGACTATACATTATCCGTATGATGTCTCATAAACCGATCGCCTCCTCTTTCCCTCCTACTTCTCGCATTCTGCCTCCTTCTTTCCTCCTCTCTTCTCTATCTCTTTCTTACTTTCTTTCTTTCTTTCTTATGTCTCTCTCTCCTTTTTCTCAGCTTCATTCTGTTCTCAACCTCATTCTTCCCACAACCTCATCGTTATCATTATCATCCTTGTTTCTCCCTCAATCCGTGTGTTACTCTAATGCCCTCCCGTCCCTCAACAGTGTATGTTCCCATATGCGTCCCCGATCGTGGGTATTTCCAATACAATTCAGCTGCCGCTGCTTTTCAGTTATCCAAAGTCGCTGTCCATACAGTCTTGATGTTCTGTTAACTGCTCTGCATTCCCGAATATCTTAATCTGTATTATTGAACCACCGATTAATTACATCAAATACCTTGCCCAAGGTTTCGCCAATCTTCTAAACCCTTGAAAACGCTACTAACTGGGCATATTAATGAGAATTTTACTTTTAATATCATGACTAATAATCGAGCGTCCATTTCTTTGAACTCTAGCTAACCTCTTTTCAAAACAATCTCGGCTCCATTAACCAGCAGCCCATTACCAACCTATTACTTAACTGTTCTATCTTTTACGAATTGATACACTTGTATCAAGTTCTATAGTTACATTTCGTAACACTGCGTCCCTCCCGTTCTGTCACCTTTCTTCGCATCCCCCTCCCCCCAATCCAACACTCTTCTGCCCCTGCTCCCGTCATACCTTCCCTTGCCCTCTTCGTCCCCTCCCTCAGCACGTACCTCCCCCTCCCAGCGAATTACGCAAACGAATCGGGCTGAAGCGCCGCCTCCTTCGTCGGTGACGCTGGACGCTCGCCGCTGACGTCAGCGCGCCCGCCAGCGGCCCTCGTCCTCGTCCTCGCCGGCGCGCTTGCCGCTCGGCGCAGCGTATCGACTGCGCGGCCGCGGGCTTTTGGCTGCGCGCGTGTGCGTGCGTGCGTGCGTGCGGGATGCAGTGCGCACAATTTACTCCGCGTCCTGTGACCTTAGTCGAGCAGGCAGAGCTCAAATTCTAGTTGATGAGAACGTTTCTATCATGAGACAATCAGGAGATGGATGTCTTAGATGAAGGAGAAATTGCTTTAGGTATTAGTAAAGTAATTAAACAGATAATAATATTATTAATAATCACAATCTCCTCCACCATCAACACAACCATTAACACAACAACGACCAGAAATCAGCAAAACGTCGGTCTCGAGCTTTTAGTTGCAAAATTTTCGGATTGTCTCCACGAAAAGAGCTGCTGCATAATGCCGCACCACTGTCAATGCCTGTCTCATAATTGATGGTGTGTGCTTCATTTTATGTCCGTTATATTTTGCATGTACGCATTAATTAGTTGTTAATGTTGATAGTCTATATAACGTTGATTTATTTTGGAAGCTCACAGTAAGATTTTAAAACTGTGTGATTGCTCAGGGTGCTTCGTACGTTTGTTGGGAAAGATGGCGATTGGGGAGAATGGCGATTGGGGAGTGAGTATGGTCGAGAGATTGGAGTGGGATGCGGGATCGATGGCATTGGGAGAATGTGCGATTGGGAGAATGATGGGATGAGAGAATATGGTTGAGAGAATGATGCGAATTGGGAGATGGCGGATTGGAGATGGCGATTGGGGAGATGGCGATTGGGAGATGCGCGATTGGAGATAGGCGATTTGGGAGATGGCGATTGGGAGATGGAATTGGAGTGGCGAATTGGGAGATGGCATTGGGAGATTGGCGATTTGGGAGATGCGATATTGGGAGATGGCGTTGGGATGATGGCGATTGGGGAGATGGCGATTGGGAGATGGCGATTA